CCGGGACGATAGCTGTGCACAGGCCTCTGATGACGATTCACGATACGGGCTGACAAGAAGAAAGAGGAAAAGAAAGGAAGAGACTGATAACGGCTTTTTTGTTAATACAAGGATGTGAAGTCCGGGGTTTTTTTTTTGGGGGGGGGGGGGGGCTCGTCTATTTTGGCATGTGCCAAGGTATGGTAGATGTACCGTACGTAGTGTCCTTCCTACTCCACCCTCATGTTCTCCGAGGCGCAGAGGGGGGAGAGAGAGAGAGAGAGAGAGACAGGATGAGAAACGGAGGGAAATGTCCGGGTTGGGTGTCTCGTCTTTTGAATGGGGAGTTGCCACGTTGTGTTATAGGTGATGATATGCGCAGATGCATACGGGGGCCTTGGGGGAAAGGGTGTGTGGAAGGTGTAGGCATCACGATGAGTTTCTGGACAGGCTTGTCTGCCTGTTCGTCAGTTTGACTGCCCGTTTGTCTGCCTGTCAGTCGGTTTGTCTGTCTGTCTGTCTTGATAGCTGGAAGCTGGTGGTAGGTGCGGGAGAGGGAACGACGCGCCGGGCCCCCGGGCGAGGAAGGACAGAAGGGTGGGGGAAGGCAGAGGTAGAAGAAGCTCTACGTTTTACTGATATCGAGTATGGTGTGAATGAAAGGGGGAGCTATAGGATCGTGCTGTCGAAGCGATGCGGGTGGCGGGCCCAGGTAGGGTGGGAGGCTTGGGTCTGGAACACACGGAGCGGGCGGCAGAGAGCGAAGAGGATGCGGCTATCTTCAGTGGCGGTGCCCCCCAGACACAGCTCGAGTGCTCTGAGGCTTCTTGATCTGACGTGCGTCTGAGGGGCGCGTGGCAGGGGGGGGGATTATGCGGGAGAGAAGCGACGCGGTTCTGTGGTGGAGGGTCGAGGGCGCGTGTGTGTGTGTGTGTGCATGGGCACGGCTGGTGGGACGGGCCTGACCGAGGCGGGGGACCGGTCTGCGGTACGGTACGACGTGAAGAAGGGTGGAAGGCCTGAGGCTGAGTGGGTGTGGGCAGGATCCGGGCCAAGCGCAAGGTTGGGGGGCCACGGAAGATCACATGCGCAGTGGGCATGCAGAGATGCAGAAATGCAGAAAACCAGACGCGGTGACTCGGTGGGTGGGCGAACCAAGGCGCTGTCAAGTCTTGGGGGTATCA